GGTATGGAAGGGGGAGGGGAGAAGTGGGGTGTAGGGGGTGTGGGAGTGGGTGTTGGGGACAATATGAGGAGGTTTGGGTGTAGGTGGGGGTATGGAAAGGGGGGTGGGGGGTAGGTGGGAGAAGTGGGGGGTGGGGGTGTTGTGGTACGATAGGTGGAAGTTTGGGTGTAGGTGGGGGTATGGAAGGGGAGGGGGAGAAGTGGGTGTAGGGGTGGGGGAGTGGGTGTTGTGGGGGTACGATAGGAGGAGGTTTTGGTGTAGGTGGGGATATGGAAAGGGGGTTGGGGTAGGTGGGAGAAGTGGGGGTGGGGTGTTGGGTACGATAGGTGGAGTTTGGTGTAGGTGGGGGGTATGGAAAGGGGGGATGAGGGGGAGGGGAGAAAGTGGGTGTAGGGGTGTGGGAGTGCTGTTGGGGTACGATGGGAGGAGGTTTGGGTGTAGGTGGGGGTATGGAAGGCGGAGGGGTAAGTTGGAGGGGGAGGGGGGGAAAGTGGGGAATTTGGGGAATAGTAGGAGGGGTTTAGGTGTAGGTGGAGGTATGGAAAGGGGGTATAGGTTGGGCGGGAGGGGGGTTGGGTGTGGGTGGGAGTTTTAACACTAAAAAAAGTTGGGGTTGGGTGGTAGAGAATTTTTTAAAAAGGGGGTGGTGGGTTGGGGGTTAGGGTGAAATAGAAATGGATTGGGGGGGGGGGGGGGTTCGGGCGTAAGAAAGAAGAGAGAGCTTTGGGTGGGGAGGGGGAAAAAAAAGAGAAAAAGGGAGAGAATCGAATAGATTAGATTCGGTGTAACATTGACGTAAAGACAAAAAAAAAAAAAAAAAAAAAAATAATAATAATAATAATGATAATAAAAATAAGGTACAACGAAGGAGGACAGCTGGGGGGGGGGGCGCGGAGGGAGAGGGGAGAAGGGAATGGAGGGGGCGGGGCCAAAGGAAGGAGGAGGAGCCAAAGAACTAGAATATAGAGGGTGAATTCAGAAGCGAGAAGGTGGGGGGGGAGGGAATGGGGGAGTTGGAGGGGAACGCTAAGAGGGGGAAATAGACAAATGGTAGAGGGAGGAGGGGGAAAGGACGAGGAAGGGGAGGAGAGGAGGAGGAGGAGGGAGAGGGGGAGAGGAGGAGAAGGAGGGGGGAAGGAGAGGAGGAGGGGGATAGAACGAAGAAGGAGGAGGAGGGCATAGGAAAGAAGGAGGAGGGGGAAAGAATGAAAGAAGGGGGTGAGGAGGAAGAGAGGGGCTAGGAAGGAAGGAGGAGGGGGAAAGGAGAAGGAGGGAGAGGAGGAGGAGGAGGGAGAGAAGGGGGGGAAAGGAGAAGGAGGGAGAGGACGAGGGGGGACAAGACGAAGAAAAGGGGAAGGGGGGGAGAGAAGGAGGGAGAGGAGGAGAGGGGAGGGGGTGGACAAGACGAAGAGAGAGGGAGGAGGGGGGGGAAGGAGAAGGAGGAGAGGAGGAGGAGGAGGAGGGAGGAGAAGAGGGAGGGGAGGGACAAGACGAAGAAGAGGAGAGGGAGAGGAGGAGGAGAGGGGAAGGAGAAGGAGGGAAGAGGAGGAGGAGGAGGGGAGGGGACAAACCGAAGAAGAGGGAGAGGGAGAAGGAGGGGGGGAAGGGGGGAAGGAGGGGAAGGGGATGTCCGTGAGGCGAAACAGGTGTTCTCAAGGCAAGCTGGGACCTCTTACCTGGAGACGGAAGAAGCTTGGCAGAAACTGAGCTTCCTTCAGCCGCGTCAGGAGCTATTCAGACACCTCGCTATTCAGCTGTCAGTCAGTAGCTCGAGCTGTCAGTCACTCGAACTGTCAATCACTGAAGCTGCCAGTCATTCGAACTGTCAGTCACTGAAGCTGTCAGTCGCCCAAGTCGTTATTTAAGTCGTCAGTCAAGCCACGCAAGTCATTTTTTAAAGATGTTACCTTCATACCTTAGTCTCGCCTTCATCGCGGTGAGTCTGATAAGGTCGTGTGGATATCTTTGTGTGGATATTAGGATATCTTTGTGTGGATATTTTTGTGTGGATATCTTTGTGTGGATTTTATGTGGATATCTTTGTGTGGATATTTTTGTGTGGATATCTTTGTGTGGATATTTGTGTGTGGATATCTTTGTGTGGATATCTTTGTGTGAATGTTTCAGGGATATTTTGTGTGGATAATTTTGTGGGTTTCAGGGATTGTTAATGTTCTTTTGAGTGGATGTTTTTGTGTGGATATTTTGAAGACTTTGTCATGGATATTTTGAGACTATTTTTGTATGTTTAAAAATATTTTGTGGGTTTTGTGTGTATATATGAGGGTATTTTAGTGGATATTATGAGGAGATATCTCGGTATATTTGTGGGTATTATGAGGATATATCTTGGTATATTTTGAGGATCGTTTGTGGATATTTTGAAAATATTCTAAAAGATATATTTGGATATTTTTGTGTGGATATTTTTAAAGCATTTTGTGAATACTTGGAGAATGCTTTTTGGATAATCTGAGGATATTTTGTGGATACTTTGTGAATATTCTAGGATATTTTAAGAATATTTTTGTGAGTTGAGGATATTCCAAGGATGTTTCAAGGATACTTAAGTGGATATTTGCGGCTATCTTGTGAATATCTTTAGGTTATTTATGCGGATATTTTGAGGATACCTTTGTGAATATTTTGAGGATATATTTTTTTCTTTTTTCGTATTTTTTTGCATATATAGATTTCTTGTTATTTCTTATGTCTGCTCTATCTTTCTTGTCTTTCTCTTGCTTTTTCTCTTTTCGTTTCTCATATTTCCTCTCCTTGTTTTATTTCTTCCTCCTTCACTCCATTTAACTCCCTCTTTTTCTTCTCTCTCTCTCTCTCTTTCGCCTTTTTCCCTCTATCTGTTTATTCTTTCTTATGTCCCTTCACTCCGCGTCTCCCTATATATACACCTTTCTCTTTGTCCCCTTTCTATATCCTTCTTCCTCTCCCAATTCTCTTTTATCCCCTTGTTCCCCATTCGTCCTCTTCCTCAACTTCTTTCTCCATCCTTTTCCTCCTCTTCCGCCTTCTCCTCTCTTTCTTCTCTCTTTCTGCTTCTAATTTTCACTCCCCCCCCCCCCCCCACACCGCCTTCTCCTCTCTTTCTGCTTCTAATTTTCACTCCCCCCCCCCACCGCCTCCTCCTCTCTTTCTTCTCTTTCTGCTTCTAATTTTCACTCCCCCCCCCACCGCCTCCCGAACGCTCCCCCAATCTGCCTCTCCCTCAGGCCGCCGTCAGGAATGGCTCGGTGCTCCTGGACGACTGCGCCCCGGTCTGCCCCGACCCGGCGCCCGCGACCGGAATGGTTCCCGACCCGACCGACTGCTCCCGATACTACTACTGCCTGTCGGACGGCAAACCGAGCGACTTCACGGAGAAGTGTCCCGACGGCACGCTCTTCGACAAGGACGACTCCGAATGCAAGGACGCCGCCGCCCCCAACTGCAAGACGTGCGAGCCCTCCTGCCGCTTCGAGTGCCCGTCGGACGGAAGCATGGCCGTCGTGGCGGACGGCGAGGACTGCCACTCATTCTTCGTGTGCAGCGCCGGGGGCTCCGTGCCCGTGTCGTGCGACGCCGATAAGCCCTACTTCGACGGCACGACGTGCACGACGGAGGAGAGCCAGTGCTGCGACAGGTGCCAGGCCTACTGCGAGGAAGAGTTCACGGAGATCGCCGACCCGACCAACTGCACCAACTTCTACTACTGCGCGCGCAAGGGTTTCCCGACGGAGCAGGACCTGCACCACTGCGCCGACCAGGCGGTCTTCAATCAGGAGACGCACCACTGCGACAAGCAGGCGACGTGCGTGCAGCCGTGCTCGACGCTGCCGTCGGGGCCGCCCTTGGTGCCCACCACCACCGTCGGCTCGGACTGCGCCACCGACTTCATCTGCCATAGCATCGGCTACTTCCCCATGTGCGTCCACTCCTGCGACCCGCGCTACTACTTCTGCGGCAGCAGCGATATCGGCCACACCGTCGACCCTCTCCGGTGCCCCTCGGGCATGGTGCTCAACCCGGAGACCATGCGCTGCGTCACCCCCAACAACTGCCCGTTCCTGGCGCGCCTGTGAGCGAAGGGCCTCGTCGGGGGGGGGGGGGGGGGGGGCATGTTAGCGCCCTACGGAGGGGGGGGACTAGAAGCAGGCGGGAGAATCCGTCGTGTGCAGAAGGAGAGGCAACCAACATTTGTACGTCTTTTGCGATGATTACGAATAAATCAGTATACTTACACTTTCACGCCGCAGACCACGACAAAAAGAAGCAGCCAGACAGAGGGAGAAGACGAAGAACAAGAACCTGGAAGATCCTTTAGGCTTCCAAAATACACAAGATAACAGAACAGGAAAATCAAAAGAATAAACATCTCCTTAAACACTTATACAACGACCACAGGATACAATGATGCAATAAAAGCCAAGAAGTCGACAATCAGTGTCCCATATTTTATTAAGCCTGTAATATTTAGCGAAGGCGGATAAGAAGAAGCTAATGAAATGGATGAAGCAAAATATCTTAATAAACCATGGATCACAGACAAAATTGCATCAACGAGATTTTCATTTAGATTATTCATAAAAAAAACAAAAACAGATGCCTATCTCTAGAAAGACTTTTTCGCTGGGGAAAATACTTGAAATAAAGATAAGGAATTCAGATAATAATGTTATCATTCAATTACCTTTATTCATGTGTTCAGTTTTTTTTTTTTAAATGCCTTCTAGATTGTGGAATTCTTGTTGTTGATCATTGTAAAATCTTCACTTTGAATTTCCTGCACCCAATCAAGGTCCCTTAAGGATAAAAGCAACAGTAGATGATAACAAATTAGAAAAATAAATATGATAGACGTAATTCTTAAGGGATTGAAGCCAGTTACACCACCTGGTAAAAGTTTCATATTCTGCGCCCTTCATTAACCATGCAACACGTTCATTCGCAATAATCATTGGCTCATCAACGCTCCGTTCATTGATGTAATAAAATTTTTACTATAAAGTTTCTGTGTCAGTGGTTACGTAATATCATATATATATATATATATATATATATATATATATATATATATATATATATATATATATATATATATATGTGTGTTGTGTGTGTGTGTGTGTGTGTGTGTGTGTGTGTGTGTGTGTGTGTGTGTGTGTGTGTGTGTTGTATATATATATATATATATATATATATATATATATATATATATATATATATATATATATATATATATATATATATATATATATATATATATATATATATATATATATGTATGTATAAACACACACACACACACACACACACACACACACACACACACCACACACACACACACATATATATATATATATATATATATATATATATATATATATATATATATATATATATGTTAAGTATCGAATTCTTGTTCTTCTTAAAAGACGACCTTGAATTTGCCTTTCAGGGAATTTTGGACCAGAAATAAAAGACGAATTCCGTATAACGTTTTTATAACACATAATGATAATGTAAGTACCTTATAAAGAAAGAAAATTGAAATATGATATGATTATTTGTACAAATAAATTTTTATTGATATTTTTACGATATATATGTGTGCCATATATATATATATATATATATATATAATATATATATATATATATATATTATATATATATATATATAGTGTGTGTGTGTGTGTGTGTGTGTGTGTGTGTGTGTGTGTGTGTGTGTGTGTGTGTGTATGTATGTATGTATGTATATATGTGTAATGTGTGTGTGTGTGTATGTATATATATATATATATATATATATATATATATATACATACATATATATATATATATATATATATATATATATATATATAGATAGATAGATAGATAGATAGATAGATAGATAGATGCATACATACATACATACATATATATATATATATATATATATATATATATATATATATATATATATATATATATATATATATATCGGTGGCATTTTTACTAATAAATGCCAAAACTTCACCTGATATAAATACGGAAATTCATAACAATGATAACCTATTGTGCCTTATGTAGGGGTGGCTAAAACAGTGAGATATTTTAGTTATACTAAAAGGTATTTGGAAATGCAAACCAACATAAACATTCATAGATACATTTATATGTAAAATAACAGAGAAAATAAATGCTGATAAATAATTAACTGTAAACAGAAAACAATCCAATAATGAGGAAGAAAAGTCGAGTAAATCCCGTTTTCTCTTCACAATAAGAAAAAGAAAACGGAAGCAGATTCCCGTTTTCTGTTAAGGAAATACCTCTAAACATAACGTCTAAAAATAATCAATATAAGCTTGCCATTTTGTGCAAAAAAAGCTATTAGGATACTGCACAGATAGGAACCTTAATATAGCATTTCCTCCTCCCTCCTCTTTCTCCTCCTCTCTTCCACCTTATTCTAATCTTCCTTCAATCCTCTTCTACACGCCCTTCCTCAGCTGGTGAGCGTGGCATACGTGGAGAGGAACCTCAGGACACCGCCAAGGGAAAACGGGCACTTAGGATACTGCAGCTGACAGTTTCCTCCAGACCGACCCATCTGCACCGCCTGTGTGAACGACGAATGGCCTACCAGGACCTCCAACCACTCGCTCCTGCTTAGAAAAAAAATGGGGAGGTTTTCTCTCAGTACATTTTCAGGATTTTAGGACTAGAGTTGGTTATTAGGGTATTGTTTAATTTTATGCGTATATCAACTTGAGTAATTAGATTTAGCAATAATGATATATTGCCTATTGATACTTTCTGCTTACCCTACTGGCTTTGCTATATGAGAATATACTTACTTTGCAATATAATTTTAGTATATAAGAATACTACTTAGGTTGGTGAACAGTAACCCATATCCATAAATTGTCTATATAAGTAAAATAAGTAACCAAAAAAAAAAAAAAAATAATGACGATAAAAGTGTTATTGAAAAGTATCATAATTACATGCATGATGATAGTAATTATGACTAAGATATCTGTAGAGCTGTAATAGAAATTTATTGGTGGGTTGCCCATGGCCCAGGAGATAGGTGTTTGTAATAAACCAGATCCATGTACAGCAGAAAAATATCATTAGAAAATCAACTAAACATTCTGACCCAAGCAACGACACTTTTTGAAAAATATTGGTTGCTTCCAAACTGTTGGTATCCCTGATTTCCCAACTACTTTCGGGTATTTGAGGCTTCTCTGAATATTGCAAAAGCATATTCCATCACTTACGGGAATAAAATAATCTCGCAGTGAATCCATATGAATTCCGGAACGACAATTCGAGACACGAATCAGAACGAGATAGATTCGAAGCTCAAAATACCAACTCAAAATAGCAGAAAGTTCCGTTTGATATTGAATGTTCCGACACCCCTCCTAACGATGCTTTTTCTGTGTAGCTGTACATATCTATGATGAAATTAGGTGATTCGCCAACAGTCCATTTTCTTCGGACATTTTGTGGTAATCTTATTCATTTGATATGGAAGTCTATCATCTTTACTCGTATTATTGGTAGTATTAATGTCATTATTATCATCTCTTTTGTTTGTCTTTTATGATTGGTATTATTATTTATATCATTATTATTCGTCATCAGTACCATTTTAATGATAACTAAGATAATATTCATATCACTATTAAATCTTTATACTGGACAGAAATCTACAAGATATTTGCATAATTCACGACCAGACCCTGCTTGTGGATTATGCAAAGGAGTTTTTTTAATCCTCCGTTACCTCTCTCTCTCTTCTTCTCCTCCATCTAGTCATCTGCCTGACCCTCCTCCTTCTCCTACCCTCTCTCCTTCTCTCCTCCTCCACCTAATTCGATGCCTGACCCCCTCTTCCTCCTCTCCTTCTCTCCTCCCTCCTCCTCCCCCTCCTCTCTCCTCCTCCCTCCCTCCCTTCCTCCCCCTTACCCCTCCCTCCCCCTTACTCCTTCCCTCTTCCCCTCTTCCCCCCCCCTTATCCTCCTTCCTCCTTCTCCCTTCTCCCCCTTACCCTTCTCCCCCTTACCCCTCCTTCCCCCTTATCCCTCCCTCCTTTCTTCTCCCCCCTCATTCCTCTTCCTTCTCCCCTTCCTTTCCTCTTCCTCCTTCCCCCATCCCTTCTCCCCCTTATCCCTCCCTCCTTTTTCCCTCCTTCCCTTCTCCCCCTTTCTCCCTCCTTCCCCCCTCCCTCCTCCCCTCTCCCTGCCTCCTTCCCCCTCCCCCTCCCTCTTCTCCCTCCCCTCCTCCTCCCTCCCTCCTCCCCCTCTTCCCCCTTCCTCCCTCACCTGGCAGCCCTGAGACGATCATCTCCGTGGCTCCTGCGTCCCCCTCCCTCACGCTGGCGTCGGAGGAGGCGACGTAGGAGCAGACGGCGCGCTGGAGGCAGGAGGTGGAGTCGAGGTCGTACTGCGCGAGGGCGTCGTCCAGCTGGTTCAGGATGGAGGTGAAGGGCGCCACGGGGAGGAGGCCTTCTCCTGAGGGAGGCGAAGAGGGGGGTTGAGAAGGGGGAATAGGGATTGGGAAGGGAGGAGGGGGTTGAGAAGGGGAATTGGGAAGGGAGGAGGGAGTTGAGAAAGGAATTGGGAAGGGAAGAGGGAGGGTTGAGAATGGGGAATAGGGGGAGGGAGGAGGGATGGGGAATAGGGATTGGGAAGGGAGGAGGGAGGTTGAGAATGGGGAATAGGAATTGGGAAGGGAGGAGGGGGGTTGAGAATGGGGAATAAGGAATTGGAAGGGAAAGGGAGGTTGAGAATGGGGAATAGGGAATTGGGAAGGGAGGAGGGGGGTTGAGAATGGGGAATAGGGAATTGGGAAGGGAGGAGGGAGGTTGAGAATAGGGAATAAGGAATGGGAGGGAGGAGGGAGGTGAGAATGGGGAATAGGGAATTGGGAAGGGAGGAGGGGTTGAGAATAGGGAATAAGGAATTGGGAAGGGAGGAGGGAGGTTGAGAATGGGGAATAAGGAATTGGGAAGGGAGGAGGGTTGAGAATGGGGAATAAGGAATGGGAAAGGAGGAGGGAGGTTGAGAATGGGAATTGGGAAGGGAGGAGGGAGGTTGAGAATAGGGAATAAGGAATTGGGAAGGGAGGAGGGAGGTTGAGAATGGGGAATAAGGAATTGGGAAGGGAGGAAGGGAGGTTGAGAATGGGGAATAGGGAATTGGGAAGGGAGGAGGGAGGTTGAGAATAGGGAATAAGGAATTGGGAAGGGAGGAGGGAGGTTGAGAATAGGGAATAAGGAATTGGAAGGGAGGAGGAGGTTGAGAATGGGGAATAGGGAATTGGGAAGGGAGGAGGAGGTTGAAATGGGGAATAGGGAATTGGAAGGGAGAGGGGGGTTGAGAATAGGGAATAAGGAATTGGGAAGGGAGGAGGGAGGTTGAGAATGGGAATAAGGAATTGGGAAGGGAGGAGGGAGGTTGAGAATGGGAATAGGGAATTGGGAAGGAGGAGGGAGGTTGAGATGGGAATAGGGAATTGGGAAGGGAGGAGGGAGGTTGAGAATAGGGAATAAGGAATGGAAGGGAGGAGGGAGGTTGAGGAATGGGGAATAAGGAATTGGGAAGGGAGGAGGGGGGTTGAGAATGGGGAATAAGGAATTGGGAAGGGAGGAGGAGGTTGAGAAGGGGAATAAGGGAATTGGGAAGGGAGGAGGGAGGTTGAGAATGGGAATAGGAATTTGGGAAGGAGGAGGGAGAGAATAGGGAATAAGGGAATTGGGGAAGGGAGAGAGGGAGGTTGAGAAATGGGAATAGGGAATTGGGAAGGGAGGAGGGAGGTTGAGAATAGGGAATAAGGAATTGGGAAGGAGGAGGGAGGTTGAGAATGGGGAATAGGGAATTGGGAAGGAGGAGGGAGGTTGAGAATGGGGAATAGGGATTGGGAAGGGAGGGGGAGGTTGAAATGGGAATAAGGAATTGGGAAGGGAGGAGGAGGTTGAGAATGGGAATAAGGAATTGGGAAGGGAGGAGGGAGGTTAGGAATGGGGAATAGGGAGGGAGGTTGAGAATAGGGAATAAGGAATTAGGAGGGGAGGTTGATAATGGGGAATAGGGAATGGGAAAGGGAGGAGGGAGGTTGAGAATGGGGAATAGGGAATTGGGAAGGGAGGAGGGAGGTTGAGATAGGGAATAAGGAATTGGGAAGGGAGGAGGGAGGTTGAGATGGGGAATAATTGGGAAGGGAGGAGGGAGGGAGAAGGGAGGAAGGGAGGAGGAGGAGGGAGATGGGGGAATAGGTTGGGATAGGAGGAAGAGGAGGGAGGTTGAGAATAGGGAATAAGGAATTGGGAAGGGAGGAGGGAGGTTGAGATGGGGAAATAAGGAAAGGGAAGGGAGGAGCGGAGGGGAAAGAGGAGGTTGAGAATGGGGAATAGGAATTGGGAAGGAAGAGGGAGGTTGAGAAAGGAATGGGAATAGGAAGTGAGGAGGGGGGTTGAGAATAGGGAATATTAATAGGCAGGTTAAGAGTAGGCAATAGGGAATATCATTATCTTAACTTTTTATTATCGTTACTATCGTTATTGGTGTTATTATTATCATTATCCTTATAAACTTTATCACCATCCAAACACATTTTGTCTCTCGCTTTCTCTATCTTCCTTTTCTCTCTCTTCTACAATTCTTTCTCTCTTCCTCTCTTCTTCCAATTCTTTCTTCTCTTCCCTCTCTTCTCCCGCCCACTTCCCATACACGCCTTCTCCCAACGCCCACCCACAGCCCACCCATACCCCGCCCCCCCCCCCGCCTTCCACGCCCCACCACCTTCCATACACGCCTCCCTCCTACCTCCCCCCGCCTATACCCGCCCCTCACCCCCCCCATACCCCCCCCCCCCGGCCCCACAGCCCCCTCCCGCCCTGCCACCCCGCTCCCGCCCCGCCCACCTTCCATACACTAGTCCCTCCTCCCCCCCCCGCCCCACGAGGCTCATACCCGCGCCCGTTTCCTTCATCCGTTGCCCCTTCCCGCGACCCCGCGCATCGCCGCCCGCTGCCCCGTCGCCTCAACGCGGAGGTGAAAGAGGCCAGGAAGGTCACGACCTGCGGCAGAGAGGAGCGTGGCCAGGAGCACGGCCCCCCACGGCCAGGACGGAGGGCCAGTTTGATCGCAGGAGGAAGTTGAGGGCCGTGGTGTGGTGGAGGCCGTGAGGTCGCTGCTCATGGAGGCCAAGGAGGTCACGGGATGGAGAGGAAGGGCACGGTGAAGCTCAGGCCCAGCTGCTGGGGGGGAGGGGGGAGGGAGGGGGGGGTTAATCGCCTGTTAGGTAGTAGGTCATCAGTCGCTTCCTATTAATAAGGTCATAATGATTTGGAAGAGTTAATGTCATTAATCGCTGTGTTAAGTAATTAGGTCATCAGTCGCTCTATATAATTGGGTCATGAATAGGATGTTAATAGTTATGTCATTAATAGCTTGTTAGTAATTAGTAGGGGATTCGCTTGTTGATAATTATGTCATTAATCGCTTGATAGTAGGATTAGTACTTAACGACATCTATTAATAGGTTCATAATTAGGATTAAATCGCTTGTTAGTTGTTCAATTAATAAGCTCAATCTCGTCAACTCAATCGACGATTGATATCCAATAATGATAGGCGATTAACTCAACTATCAAGTAGTTAATTAGTAAAATCGACTATCCTATTAGTAAGATGCGATTAATCCACTTAATTGCTAGTTACAAACTGGGTTAAAACTTGTTATTGATTTATCTCTTGTGATTAATTGAGTTAATAAACTTCTCAATTGGGTTAATCACTTGTTAATTGTTAATGCCTAGTTAAGACTCATTATCGGGAGGTCATTAATCGTTTGTTAATGAATTGGGTCATTAAGTGCTTGGCAGTTATCCTTAATTTGTATTATTATCTATTTCCCTCGTGCGTTGGGTCATAGATTATTAGTTATCATTAATTAGGGATAATTAATTGCACGTTATTTCTCATTATCGAGGGTATCATTAACCTTCAGTTAATTCTCACTGATTGGGGGTCATTAATCATTATGATTACATTCATTACGGGGATATTAACTGTTGATTTTCATCATTTGGGAGGATTATCAATCGCTCATTAGTTAGCTTGGCTCAGACTTTAATTAGAGCTTAATTGGCCATTTTAGATCAGTAAGATCATCGTTTTAATTAAGTTGAAATAATATTAGTTGTCATAAAAAAGAGATAAATAAACAATTAAACGGATAAAAAGATTTAAAAGATGAAACTCCAAAGAATCGGTTACTTACGTCCAGGGTCTGTCTGCTGGTGTTAAGGGTGAAGAACCTGGCTGTTTGGTTGCGATTTCCGCTCTTAGGCACGCCGAGGTTGGGGGCACCATAGTTCTGTCTGGGCGTTGTGTTCTCTGGCGTATCTGAACGAAAAAAAAAAATAAATAAATAAATAAATATATATAAATATATATATATATATATATATATATATATATATATATATATATATATATTTCTTTTATTCAATTGCTAATACTTTTTGATGCTATTATTTTGTTGTTTTTTATTTGTTCTATTTTATTGCTATATATTTTTTCATTAATTTATCATATATATGTGTGTGTGTATATATATATATATATATATATATATAAATATATATATATATATATATATATATATTATATATACTTTACAATTTTCCATTTGATGGTACACTAAGAAATTAAAATACACCTCCTTAATATTTTCATATGTATAAAATCTATACCGACTTTTTCCCTGTTTTATGAGAAATATAGTATCATGATAAATAGTTTATTATGTGTTACTCTTTGATCACTGTTTATGAATACAGATTTGTTTTTTTTCATTTTTTTTATTATCAGGACATACACATTATCATTTTCTTTATTCTTTATGAATCATATATCGATTAACGAATTAATAATTTTTTTTTCATTGCCATGATAACAAGCAGAACAGCTTATCTCTAATAGCAATGGTATTAGCATACTCGTATTTCTAAAAGTATTTACTTAATTTATGAATATATGCATTTCATAACAGAGGATTTATTCAGTGATAAAGAGAGGGAATTAAATGAACTCTGACCTAGTTTGAGGTCACACATTATCCTCTTTTAATAAGGAGGGAAGAGAAGAAGAGGAGGAGAAAGAAGGAAAGAGGAGGAGAAGAGAGAAGAGAGATATGAAGGAGTAGGACGAGGAGTAAGGGGGAAGAGGAGGAGGAGGAGGAGAAGAAGAGAGAAGATGAGGAGGAAGAGAAGAGAGAAGAGGAGTCGACGAAGAAGAAAGAAGAGGAGGAGAAGGAGGATGAGGAAAAAGAAGAGAGAAGAAGGAGTAGGAGGACGAGGGCGAGGAAGAGAGGGAGAAGTAGAGAGAAGAAGAAATAGAGAAAAAGAGAAAAAGAAGAGAGAAGAGAAGAAGAATAGAAGAGGGAAAAAAGAAGAGAAGATAAAAAGATGAAGGATAAGAAGAGAAGCAAAATAAGGAAGAAGAAACAAAAAAACGAATAAACAGGAAAAAATGAAGAAAAACACGAAAAAGTAATATATAACAAAAATTATCATGATAAAAAAAAACTAACCTGGATAGAGGTCGTACTGCGATGCGTCCACCTTGGATTCGTCCTCGTCGTAATTAAGTGGCTGATACACGTCCGAGAGCACGCCGAAGCCAGTGCCACTCTTCCGGATCTACAGGTTGGGACAAGGCGAGAGTGTGTCAAGTGACGATTTTTTCTTTTTCTTTTTTTTCTTCAATTCTTCTTTCTTTCTTGCTTTCATATTTTTTTGTTTCTCTCTTATTTTTTTCTTTTCTTTCTTCTTTTTTTTTTTCATTTCTTTCTTTCTTTCTTTCTTTTCTTTCTTATCATTGTCTCTTACATTTCCTTCTTTCTTTCATTCCTTCTCCTTTCATATTCATTCATTCATTTCTTTCTGTTAATAAACTTTACGAGTTCTTATTTAGATTTGGATTTTTCATTATAGCGTTGTAATTTCTCTCATATCATCACACACACACACACACACACACACCACACACACACACACACAACACACACACACACACACACACACACACACATATATATATATATATATAATATATAATATATATATATATACACACATATATACACTCAAATCCTATATCTTATACATATATACATGTATATATATATATATATATATAATATATATATATATATCTATCTATCTATCTATCTATCTATCTATCTATATATATATATATATATATATATATATATATATATATATATATATATATATACCTTTGATAACTAGGCCAGATCACACTCTGGAGACATTTGCATACAAATGATTAATCTGCGAGACGACAACTGAGGCTGCAAATGCGCACTCGACAGAAAAGCCAAAATTATGTTACACTATTTCGGTAATCGTCACTTGGGGGGGGGGGGGGGAGGGTGGAGAAGTGAGTTGAATGAGCAAATTGCGCAGAGAGAGCGAAATGGCGTGACTTGCGAGAGCTGAATGAGCATATTGAGCACATTGCGTAAAGAAGGGATGTGAGTTAATGTATTCACCGAGGGATATCGTTTCAAACTGAAAATGGCTTTGTTTGATTTGTATACTGCATTAAGATATATATATATATGTGTGTGTGTATAAATATATATACATACATATTGATAGATATACACAAATACACGAATACATAACAAAATATAGTCCCGTATCCCCTCCTTTCTACTTTAGTGCCGTAGCCCTCACTGACTCACCTGACTGGGGTCGGTTGAGCGGTACGATGAGCGAGGTACCTGAGAGTGGTTTAAAAAATTAATTAAACATTGTTTCTGTGATTGAGTCGTCTTTGACTATATTCACAATCAAAATGGAGAAAAGGGAGATAACTATATGGTATTTATTTGGTGTCATATGGTGAGTAAAGAAACTGAATTAAAGAGATATGTCAAAATGTCTGTCATTTTCTTGTTTTTTCTTCTATATACATTCTTTAAGGGAGGGAATAAGCTATATGCAATGAGGTACTTACTTGTAAATTACACAGAAAATACCAAATGAACTATAAAATAAAATTGCAAGCGATATGCAAAGTCATTTTGTTGTCCTGTGTAAAATTCAAAAATATATTAGTCGGTCCTTAGAGTCTCGTCCACCCGGCGCGAATTCCGTTTTCTATTTCCTTTAATTCTCTGTTTTCATTTTATGTTTGTTACTTATATTAATGATGATGATGGTGATTGTGATTGTGATGGTGATGGTGATGATGATGTGATGGTGATGATTGTGATGATGATGGTGATGGTGATGATGATTGTGATGGTGATGATGGTGATGATGAGATGATGATGATGTGTGATGTGATGATGATTGTGATGGTGATGTGATGAGTGTGATGGTGATGATTGTGATGATGATGGTGGATGGTGATGATGATTGTGATGGTGATGATGATGGTGATGGTGATAATGATGATTGTGATGATGGTGATGATGATGGTGATGGTGATGATGATTGTGATGGTGATGATGATGATTGTGATGATGATGATGATGATGAGTGATTGGTGATGGTGATGAATGATTGTGATGGTGACGGATGAATGGTGATGATGATAGTGATGTCGACGATAGAAAAAATGTCAAGAACAGAATTAAAGCCAATCAAGTTAAGTAATAAATGAACGTTAATCACTGCATTAATTAACATCATTTCATACGATAGCAACGTAATTAGCCTTAATCACGGAAGGCAAATATCAAATATAAAAACAAAATGGAAGAAACAGTAAAATGTAATAAAGGTATAAAAACATTTCTAAAGTTTTAATGGAAAAAGAGGAGAATTTAGCTATAAGCAGTCAAAGTTTAGGTGAAATGAAAAAAGAAAAATTATTTACAAACAAGAAGTTTTAATGAATGAATCTAGGAATATTTCAACGAAAACTTTTATGATGAAATGATTATCGCACGAAAGTTTTATTCCCAGAAAAACGAAGAAACTTTTTATGAATGAACGAAATTATTTACGCAACAAAGTTTTATGAATGAAACCCGGAATATTCACGCAACAAGCTTTATGAATGGAAAAAACCGTAATTTGTTAAAAGTTCTATGAAATGAAATACACTTAAGAGGATCTGATCCTCTACGATACAGATGTACTTAACACTATAAATTACTTATTCTACTTATATTTCAATCTTTCTATAAATTACGTACTCTATTGTCAAACTTTCTAAGATAACTTATTTTTTGGCCTCAATTTACTCACAGCATATAGGGTTTACTTCGACATCTCTTCTTATAAATGATACTTACGTACTTTATTTTTATTTGACGTTTTCTTTTACTGCATATCTTAAACTTTACTGGCTTTGCTCACATACTATGATACTTTACATACTTACATATTTTATGATATTGATATACACACATGCATACAGTTCTTAAACTTTACGTTTACTTATTATTTTATATTTCACTCACACAATATTTTCTATGTCTTTGAGACATCATATATCGAAAGACAATTCAATATTTTTCGCTTTGTTATAACTTTTTAAACCTGTTGGATTATGATTAATTACCAAACAAAGGTAGATATATAATAGATAAGGTACTGAGATAATCAGATAACTAATTATCAAAAAAATAACAATAACCAAAAACATATTGAACAAGAATGAGAAGAATAGAAAGAGAAAAAAACTAAAGAGAATAGAAAATTAAAAACATAGAGAATCGTCCATTCGCGGGAGATATTCGTCAGATCTGGTGGATTGATGCAACCTGCATTCCCGGTCTCTCGAGTTCAAAGTCCGTGTCTGTTGGAAGGAACAAAGGTCAATTCAAGAGTCCACATTAGCCATAAAAAGGTCATCCTTGTGTCAAAGGTCCTGTGTGGTGAAAAAAATAAGATAATATATATATTATTCGTTTACACAAAAAATTATTAGTATGTTCGAACATGCATTTTCTGGTGGACGAAAGGGGGGGGGGGAGAAGGAGGAGAAAAGGAAGGAGAGGGAAGTAAAGGGAAAAGACTAAGGAGACAGGAAGAAAGAAAGGAAAGAAGGAGAGAGACAATAGAGGCACAAAGACTAAGTAGAACGGATAAGAGAGATACGTTATAATATATATATTTATAATATATAGAATATATAGATATAATATATAGATGATATATATATATATATATAATTATATATATAGAACGAGAGAGAGAGAGAGAGAGACAGAGAGAGAGAGAGAGAGAGAGATAGACGGGGGAGGGCAAAGAGATAAGAGAACAAGACCGAGGGAGACCAGAGAAAGAGAGAGAGGAGGGCGAGAGCGAAAGAGAGAGAGAGAGAGAGAAGAGAGAGAGAGAGAGAGAGAGAGAGAGAGAGAGAGAGAGAGAGAGAGAGGAGAGAGGAGAGAGAAGAGTGAGTGAGTGAAGTGAAGAGACGGGGAGGGGAAGAGAAGGAGGGAGGGCGAGAGGAGGAGAGAGAGAGAGAGAGAGAGAGAGAGAGAGAGAGAGAGAGAGAGAGAGAGAGAGAGAGAGAGAGAGAGAGAGAGAGAAATATGAATGTTTAAGACAAAAACTTATTTCAGTTCCCCCTTTTTACCTAAAACCCCCGTCAAACACCTGCTTTACCTAAAACTCAGTTAAGTACTAATTATGTCCACCAAAGATAAAGTACCTTGTTCGCCTAAACTCTTCAAGTACCTCTTTCACAAGAACCCAGTTAACTATCTCCTTGACTTGTATCCTCAGTTATGTGCCTGGTACACCTATAACCCGTTAGGTGCTTCACTTATAACCCCTCTTAGGTGCCTGGTTCACTTATAACCCCAGTTAGGTACCTGCTTCACCTATGACCCTGGATGAGTGCCTGCTTCACCTATAATCCCAGTTCGTTACCTGTTTCACCTATAATCCCAGCTCATTACCTGATTCACCTATAACTCCATTTAGGTGTCTGCTTCACCTATAACTACAGTCAAGTACTTGCTTCACCTGTATCCCGGGAAGAGTCCCTGCTTCACCTAATAACTCCAGTCAACATTTACCTATTTCACCTGAACCCCTAGTCTAACATCCACTTAAGCACCTACATTAAACACCTACTTCTTCACCTAAACCCACCTTCACCTGAAAACACAATTCGAATACCTGTGTCCTTGAAAGTCCTGATCATTACCTGGTTGGGAGGAGGTACGGCCTTGACTACCTGCTGTGAGGTCTCGGCCACAAGCAGGTCTTTGTCGTACTGAGCCGCGTAAGGGTGGAAGGCTACGCTGCCACCACTGGTCGAGGGGAAAAAAGATGAATGGAGGCGTAAATTTATGAATGAAAATACGTTGAGGAGTGTGCGTAGATTTTATGAATGGTTGTAAACAAAAGATGAATGAAGGTGTAAAATTTATGAATGAATGTACGTTGAGGGGTGTGCGTAGATTTTATGAATGGTTGTTAATCAGAGATGAATGGAGGCGTAAATTTTGAATGAATATACGTTGAGGAGTGTGCGTAGATTTTGTGAATGGTTGTAAACAAAAGATGAATGAAGGTGTAAACTTTTGAGTGAATGTATGTTGAGTTGTGTGCGTAGATTTTATGAATGGGTGTAAACAAGGAAAAAAGATGTTGAATGAAATGGATATTGATTAGATATAAAAATGATAACACTAATCATCACTAAATATAGTCGAATATGAATGAACAAACAACAAACAAACTTTAGACAAGACAAAACGCCACAAAAATATCCATAAACATTAATAAAACAAAATAATAACAAAATAAAAACTCGAAAACAACATAAACATTTTTAAAAAGGAAGAATCCAAAAAAGTGTCAAGTTCACCTACATGATTTACAAGACAGTAAAATTTACCTTCGAAAACAACATAAACCACAATATAAAAAAAAGGAAGAATCCAAAAAAAGTGTCAAGGTAACCTATATAATCAAAAGACAATAAGATTTACCTGTAAGATGGTGACACCTGGATGGACTGTGAGGCGACCACCTGCAGCGCCGAAATACCCAAGACAGTTTCGAAAAACATGCTTGTGGTCTGAAATAAAGAAGTTTCATTTCGTTATGATATTTGTACTTGAAAATATAATGAAAAGATAAATAAAAAGTAATGAAAAAAGTTGTTTCATTTCGTTATTATGATATTTGTACTTGAAAATTTAAAACAACAACAACAACAACAACAACAACAACAACAACAACAACAACAACAACAACAACAATAATAATAATAATAATAATAATAATAAATAAATAAGAAAAAAAGAAAAAAGTGGTTTCATTTAATTGTTATGATATTTGTACTTGTACATCTTTCAAGAATAAAAAGATGTTAATAATAATATAGATAAATAAAGAAATTTAAAAAGTCATCGCTATATACTCATAGAACTGAAGATGTGTTATAGATTATTAGCATTACTATTATTCTTTTATGAAATTGAAATCATTATATTTATTTAATTATATTTTTTTTTTTTTTAACTAATTACGATATCGTCACATACTTACTTTTCCTGTTTTCTTATTGTTGTTATTTTCTTTTTCTTGTTGATTTTATTGGTTACATCTCTCTTTCTTTCTCTGTCTACCTATCTACATTCTCTTCTCTCTCTCTTTCTCTCTCTCTCTCCTCTCTCTCTCTCTCTCTCTCTCTCTCTTCTCTCTCTCTCTCTCCTCTCTCTCTCTCTCTCTCTCTCTCTCTCTCTCTCTCTCTCTCTCTCTCTCTCTCTCTCTCTCTCTCTCTCTCTCTCTTTGTCTTTTTGTATGTTTCTATGTCTTCTCTCCCACACATGAGCGTAAATATATGTATGTGTTCTTGTTCGTGTGTCTTCTTATATATATATATATGTATATATATATATATATATATATATATATATATATGTATGTATGTATTATGTATGTATGTGTGTGTGTCTCTCTCTCTCTCTTTGTATTTTCTACTGTCAATATACACAATTTCATGCTAAGATTTATCATACAATTTATTCATAAATCGATACATCTATTTTACATATGGCTTTGTTGCAATCGTTCACAATGAATTACAATATCTTAACTATATATCTTCGCTTGATGCATTCAAATTTATCACAATTATCATTTTAGCCACTTTACCTCTATCCTTTTCTAATAAAAATATATACATCCTTTCCAATACACAAATAACGACGTTAGAATACATGAATGTATAGAAATGAAAAGTAAGGAAGATATAACAGTAATATATGAAATTATATTTTTTATACGAGTGAATTGGCGGGAAAATTTATAACATGTAAAGGGTCCCGCCCATTAATCAGGAATTTGCACTAAGGTATTGCGTGTTCCCAGTCAGGTGATATTTATGTAATTCTGGAGATGATATATTCAAAATGGTTTTAATCTACTTTCACTTTCATGCAGATTTTAACTGTTACTTTTATTTTTCTAGGCTTTTTTTCTATTATTTTATCTACTCGCCATGGTGACTAAACGTGAAATATAAGGAAATAAAAAATGTGATAAAGATATAGAAATTACAGCATATCTATTACTAAAAAGAAACTTACCTTTGAAATAAACGAAGATCTTTAGGTGATGGACAAGAAAAAACGTATTTATGAATGTGGTCTTCGGTCACCACCACAACACACCAGAAAAAATAAAAACAGCGGATTCCGCTCGCTCGCTAGCGCCTTTCCGCTAACTTCGCTCGCTCGTCTCCGCTAGACGTCCGCTAGAGACAACTTTCCTCCCTTATTTCAGGCTCTTTCCCGGCCGTAAAGCTCCGATTTTTTTTCCTCGGGATTGTCGCTGGCAAAGCAGGACGAACGCTGGGTCGGACTGTGCGAGATCGGCAGCGGAGGACGCTCATTTATACGGACTTTCGAACTTACTCTAGCGTTGCGGGGTGGGGGTGGGAGGGGGGAGGGGGAGGGGGAGAAGGGGTAGAGGGTAAGGGAGTATGGGGGAGGGAGAGGGAGGGAGAAGAAGAGGTAGGGGAGGAGAGGGAATGAGAGAGAGGGAAGAATGAAGATAAAGAGAGAAAAAAAACGTAGAAACAGAGAAGGCAAAGAACTATCTCCAACATTACACGAAAAAAAAAAAAAACATCACAGAGAAAGAGAAAAAAAAGAAAAACAAAAAAAAAAAAACAAAAGAGCTATAAAAAAAACAGTGACAAACGAAACGAAAAAAGAAAAGAAAGACTAATAACCAGAAAAAAATACAAATAAATGAGGGCACCCCTTTCCTTTATGACGTCACGCAATCTTGGCTAATACATGACACTGATTTTGCGGGTCGCGGTTCGGAGAATGATGCTTCGCCCTCGTGTGCACATACTTCCGTAACCCCTCGTGTAAGGCGTGAATTATGTGCACACAACACACACACACACACCACACACACACACATCACACACACACACACCACACACACACACACACACACAACACACACACACACGCACACACACACCACACACATACTATATATATATATATATATATATTATATATATATGTATATATATATAATATATATATATATATATATATATATATATATATATATGTTATATGTGTGTGTGTGTGTGTGTGTGTGTGTGTGTGTGTGTGTGTGTGTGTGTGGTGTGTTGTGTGTGTGTGTGTGTGTGTGCGTGTGTGTATAAATAGATAGATAGATAGATAAACAACCGTCTCCACAGCGACCGCACTTAGCGCCGCACCGGAAACCTTGACTCCATTCAAGAAGGAACTAAGGCGATGCCACAAAAGGCCATGGGGGGGTGGGGGTGGGGGGGGGGGGAGGGGGCACTCCCGGAAGGCGAAAGAGAAGAGAGGGAGAAGGGAAGGGGAAGTGAGTGGGAGGAATGGAGAGGAGAGAGGGTGAAGAGGAGGGAGAGAAGAGGGGAGAGAGAGAGAGAGAGCGAGAGAGAGAGAGAGAGAGAGAGAGAGAGAGAGAGAGAGAGAGAGAGGTGAGTGTGAGGAAGAGAAGAAAGAAAGAAGGGAGAGAAAGAGTAAAAGAACGAAGGGAAAGGAACAGTTAAGAAGGATAGAAAGAAAGAAGACAGGGAGAGTAAAGATAGGAGAGAGTTGAGACTGACAAGGATGAAGAGAGAAGAGAAGAGAAAGGGAGGGGTCGGAATAGAGGAAGAAGGAGAGAGAGGAGAGAAAAGAAATTAAGAGAGAAAGAGAATGAAGGGGAGAAAGAAGGAGAAAAAGATAAAAATAAAAAGGAAGAAAAAAGTATTGAAAGATTTAAAAAAGCAGAGAAAAAAAGGAGGGAAAGAGAGATTGATAAAGGAGAGAAAGAGAGAGATTAAGAGGGAGAGAAAGACGTAGATAAGGAGATGAAAGGAAGGACTCTACACGAAACCAAAACTAACCAACTCTGTATTTTATATTCACATCTTCTATGAATAATAACAAAAAATAATGATAAGTCCACAAAATAAAAAAAACATTACTGCACCTCATTCTTTTTAAAATTGGTCTTCTTTCACAACTCATATTCATTTTTCACGATGTTACACTGCCTTACGTAACTACTTCATTCATTTGTCATATCCACTGTCACTACTGCTCTTGCGTTTGTAATCTGTGACTTCACCACTCGTTCACCCCATCCACTTCATCCACACCATCCACTTCCATCCACCTCATCCACCCATACGTCCCATCTACTTCATCCACCTCATCCACCCATTCACCCCATCCACTTCACCCACCTCTTCCATCCATACACCCCATCCACCTCATCCACCTCACCCACCCCATCCACCTCATATACCAGTGGTTCTCAACCTGGGGGTCATGGGGGTATTCTATGGGGTCTCATGGAGCAATATGGGAATTATGACGTCGAATCTGATTGGATTTTATGTCAACCACAGGACGTAATTTTTTATTATAATAAATAATAATAATTAATAAAATAAAATAAAATAAAATAAATAAAGTAATAAGCATATTGATGCATTTGGGATCTTTTCATAAAGTGTTCTTGTTCAGTAGTTATTGACGCAGTTAAGCTATTTATAACTTGTCGTAACTGGATCTGAAAGAGATGACAGTACATGAACGGAGAGATAGAGGGGGAGGGAGGGGGGAGAGGGAGGGAGGGAGGGAGAGGAGGGAGAGAGGAGAGGGAAGGGAAGGGAAGAGGGAGAGAGAGGAGAGGGGAGGAAGAGAGAGAGAAGAGAGAAGAGAGAGAGAGAGAGAGAGAGAGAGAGAGAGAGAGAGAGAGAGAGAGAGAGAGCCAAGCCTGAGAACGCAACTACGTCACAAAAAATCACGCAACACAAACCCCCCACCATCCACGCAATAGACACCCCCATGCCACGCCACGCCAACCACACAAGGCAGTACCACCATCTCACCCGACCACCCATGCCTATAATAAAGCCACACCATCATCCAACCACATTCCTGATTCTCATCCACCCATAACCCACCGCTATCCGATCACGAGGAGCCACGCCACCCACCCTATCATGCCCCATTCCACCCAACCACCGCTATCCATCCACACCACCCACCCACTAAACCACAACACGCTTTCCACCACCCAACCACCATAATCGCACCCTAAATCAGCGCACCCACATACGCACACCTATAGCACCCACCTATTCCACCAGCAAAAACGCCACCTATCTCACCCACCCACCGGCCAACCTATCCACCCACACCATCACGCCAGCCACCCAGCCAGCCATCCCTATCCATCCACCACCTCACCCACGCCATGCCCTATCCATGCCCACAGCACCTATCGCATCCAGCCCCCTCTATGCCATCCACATCACCCATATCAGCATCCATGCCACCCCACACCATTCACGCCATTATCCACCTCCCAGCTACCCATGCCACGCTATCCGCCACGCCACCCTACCCACACCATCGGCCACCCGCCACGCCACCCCACACTATCTTTTCCACTAATCACACAAGACAGTTTGACACACCACACAAACGTAGATTAGTCCTCACTTCAATCTCAAAGCCACAAGCCACAGCACTATACACCCACAAACCCTA